GAGAAGGAGAAGGAGAAGGAGGGGTCTAGCGGAAGTTGGCGGAACACAAAGGGGCGGGATAAGGAGCTGAGAAGGAGGACGAAGGGGAGGAGCTGAGAGGATTGGGAGGGGGCCGAGAGAGAAGGGGGAGGGGAGGAGCTGTGAGGGAGAAGGAGGAATTGAGAGGGAGGGAAAGAGCATCCCAGTAAAGGAGATCCGGATCCGCCAAGTGAGAGGCTCAGAGATTTAGGGACCCTGAGACACACCCACGGAGAAGGCATTGGGATTCCGGGTCCGAGTCGACGAGCTCCCGACCCCAATCGGCTCCGGTCTGCCCCATACCCTCACCCGAAGCCTTCCCCTTACATCTGACTCCCTCCCACTGTCCTCACCTGGCAGGATGCGGTTTCTCGGTCCGCCTCGCAGAAGTTGACCGGAGCCAACCCGGGGAGGTAGAAAGCCGTACCGCAGGAAGCCTGAAGCCACAAGAGCAGCCCCAGCCCTAGCAGCCACCTCAGCCCGGAGAGGGCGGGCCATAGGCTCCAGAGGTTGGTTCTCACGCGGAAACCGCGAGTACTCATTTTAGGAGCCGGCTCAGGCGCTGGGGGCACACAATATGAGCGAAATCGAAACCAGTGGAGGGGAGAAGCGAAAATGACAAGAACCGTGGATAGGCAAGAGCCGAGGCCGGCTAGTGGGACCAGAACTCCCAGAAAGGCCACTTAGACCGAATAGACACTGGTTTGGAACCCGGTTGCTAGGGCGCCTGGCGGGGTTTGTGAGCTGGCAGAGTGCGCATGCGTACGGGTGCCCGCCAGCTTCCCTCATCCCTTCACTCCCTGCCCCGCCCTTTCCCGCGGTTTGGCGGTGCCGCATGTACCCTTGCTGGACCCTGTGGGGCGTGGGGGCCGAGGGGAGGTTTTCTGAGAGATGTCCACATCCCAGGCCCTCGCCTCCTCCCGAGGTACCTCTCAATCCCAAACTAGCAGCGCTCCCGCCCCCGCCATCTTCATTGCTGGCTGCAGGGTTTAGGGAGTGCGGCATTTTAGGGCCCCCCGGTTCCAGTGCGGTGGCTATTAGGCACCTGAAATGCAGCTAGTCTGAAACTGACGTTCTATAAATGTAAAATGCACATCGGGTTCCTAAGACAAAAAATGTAAAACATCTCTGTAGTGATGACGTGTTGAAGTGATAATACACTGGGGGTCTGTTGCGTTAAATAAAACATTACTAAAACTAATTGTACCTACTCTTCTGTCTTTAATGTGGCTAATTGGAAATTTAAATTACATGGCATGTGGTTCGCATTATATTTCTCTTCGACAGCGCTGGTCTGGGGAAGGAGAAAGGGGACAAGACTAAAGAAAAGAAGGAGGGAGGGAGGGAGTCTGTTCCAGTCTATTGAGAAAAGTCTTCTTTCTCTTAGCAGCGGGGGTCTTATTTTGCAATCTCTGTAGGAATCTCTGTCGCCCTTACTTTCTGCTCCTTGTGGTGTCCTTGATGCAAAAGTGCTTGCATTTGGACCAAGAAAGTATTGTAGGTATCGTAGGACAAAGACAGTAGTAGAGAGCTTATGCCCCCCCCTTGTGTCTCAAGAGCTTTGGAGAACAACAGATTATTTGTTTATGCTTGAGACGTGTGGGCCTGGCCACTTGCCTTTCTATCCCAGTTCCCGCTCTCCAAGGGGTCTGCGTCTTCTGGTGATTGGCAGACAGCGATTCAAGACAGAACAAAGGCAGTGAGCTGGCGTTTAGCCGAGGTGGGTAGAAATGTAGCGAATTAACTCTTGGACTAGAGACAGAAAAAGTTGTAGAAGAATGAAAGGAAATGTACGAAGGATCAGAAGTAAGGGAGTTGTGATAGTAAAAAGATTGAACTTGACCAACAGAGAACTGGAAACGCCCGTGTAAAGATTTAGAGGACAGAATCATGATTAGAAGGGCACTGCTTTTATGAAAAGAAATGGAAAAAGGGAGTCTAGGAAGCGTGAGAGCGCTCACTGTTGGAAATAACCAGAGCACTGCACTGCCATGGTTCTCTGGTCGACACTCTGATTAAAAAAAAAACAAAAAATTAGCCGGGCGTGGTAGCGGGCGCCTGAAGTTCCGGCTTCTTGGAAGGCTGAGGCGAAAGGATCCCCAGAGCCCCGCAGATCGACGCTAGGTGGCCGTGAGCTGGCCGTGAGCGTACCACTGCATTGCAGCCTGGTCGACAGCGTGGGACTCCAACTCAAAGAAAAAAAAAGAAAATAGAAAGAGCCGGGCTCGGTGGCTCAGCCTGTAATCCCAGTACTTTGGGAGGCTAAAGTGAGAGGATTGCCTGAGCCCGTGGGTTCGAGACTCGCCTGGGCAACTTGGCGAGACCTCATCTCTACAATAAATCAAAAAATTAGCCGGGCATGGCAGCGTGCACCTGTAATTCCAGCTACTTGGAAGGCTGAGGCGGAAGGATCGCCGGAGCCCAGCAGGTCGAGGCTACAGTGGCCCGGAGCGGCCACCGCACTCCAGTCTGGGCGACAGAGTGAGACTCCAACTCAAAAGAGTGAGACTCCAACTAGGCCTGGGCCTGGAGTGTGAACCCTAGATCTTAGCGATGCCAGTCGAGGGGATTGGGGGGAAGCACTCCCTGGGAAGTTGTGACTATCACATCCCTGGCCTCCCAGGTCACCTCCAGGATATAAGCCCACTTCTAAGTAGACTCCAAAAGTGCTATTGTCTTCCATTAAAGCTCCCTGTGGGACCATGTCCCACCAGCCTGTCAACTTCAAGAAGTCAAGCATCAGGAAAGGCTACTAGATATTCTCCTGATGCCACCAGTATGTAAATGTCACCAGCTTCAGACACCTGCTAGACACCAAGCTGGGCCCAGAAATAGAACTGGGCGTGTGCACCATCTGCATGAACGATGTACCCACCATAGGCTACTCAGCTGATTTGGGCAACACAACCCCCTCCAGAAGCCTAGTGGCTAATTACAGTCTATTCCGTGTACTTTGAGGGCATTAGGAATCTGTCAGTCAGCCTATCTAAATCATGTTCATCTTCTGCCTCCTCACCCCTCTGCAAGATTCATAAGCACCAGGGCAGCCTGTGCAAGTCATTCACTGGGCAGGCCTGGTTTTCCTAACATCAAGGCCTACGAGACCAGCGAGGACAGGTACCAACCTTCCCACCTGCCACCGCTGGCTACCCTGTATACCTCATGTTGTAGGTAAATAGGGTTATGTTTATTTATCTCCATTTTGTTTCTTTTCCTTGCTTCATTGCAATGGGTAGGATTCCTCAAACGATGTTGAGTAGAAGTGGTAAGAGTGGACTTACTTGCCTTCTTCCCCAAGATCTTAGGGGGAAATCATTGTCTTTCATCATTAAGTGAGATATTAGCTGTAGGCTTTTGGTAGCTGTCCTGTATCAGATTAAGGAAGTTCTCTTCTCTTCTGAGTTTGCTGAAAGATTTCATCATGACTAGATAATGAATTTTATCTTTTTTTGCATCAATTGATATGATCACATGTTTTTTTCTTAAGACTATTAATGTGATGGATTACATTGATTTTCCAAGCATTGAATCAGTCTTGTATTTCTATAATAAACCCAACTTGGTTTGTTGTTGTCTAAAAAAGCAACAACAAAAACAAATGGGGCAACATTGTGGTATGGAGTGCAAAATTGGCAAGCTTCTAAAAGATAAAATTCAAAAAAATTAATTGATTAAGGTATGCTCTGTGCCAAACTGCAACAAAATATAGGTTCTCCCTCCTTTGCCATTAAGAGTATGTTGGTGGAAGAGTAGAAAATACTTTATCCATTTTATTCACTTACTTGTCTCCGTACCTCTATTAGAAGTAAGCTAAGCTTCATGAACACAGAGTCCATTTCTTTTTTGTCTTCATACCCCTAGTGCAGATCCAGGAACTTAGTAAGAGCACAACACATAAGATTCAAAATAAATGAAAAGATGAATGAATAAATACCAGGTAACTTACACTGTCCTAGGTATTTTTGCATATTTTACCTCATTGAGAAATCAAAATAAGTTGCAATCAAAAGATGTAAGTGTTGGTGACAAAGATAATTACACCCCCCTTCTTTTTATGTAGCAGTAGGATTTGCAAAGTTCATTCCCATTCATTATTTTGGGTGATCTTCCCAGTAGACCACATCAGGTAGGAAGGTTAATTATTGATCTCTCCATTTTATATGCAGTAACTGATGAAAAGATACATTAGTTTGCTTTTCCAAGATCACATAGCTGACCAAGCTAAGGCTAGAAAGCAGGTTTTTGTATATCTAATATAATTATTCAACATAACCGGGTTCGGTGGCTCAGCCTGTAATCCCGCGCCTTTGGGAGGCTGAGGTGAGTGGATTGCCTGAGCCCGCGGGTT